GTGTCATATTCAGCTATAATGCTAATATAATACTAACTATATAATACTATTGTTTATACAGCTTGCCTTAAACACACATTCATTGAAATCCGCCATCTTGATTCTTGAATCAAATATGAACAGTGTGACACTTCATTTAATATCACGTACTATGGATCAAAACAAAAAAGGTAAACAAAGTTGGCGCATGGCAAATTCGACTGGAGATTATCTTTAACATTCCAATTTTATGTTAACAAAAACAACTTTGAAAGCCGCAGCGAATAAATTTCACTCACTTAGAGAATAAATTTTTACATTGTTATTTATAGTGCGTGTTAAATTAAACCACCTTGCAATTCCATTCACAAATGTAAATAATCATGTAAATATTTACTCTGAAATGTTGGTTTTCTTTGCTTAGCATATGATTTATAACAAAACGCACCATTAAAACTGTCAGTGTTTTGAAAACCTAGTTTTTTACAAAATGTGTTCTCGGAATGCTGCAAATGCTATTTACGGGATTCAAATTTCAAAATTTTTCGAATCCCCGCTCATAATTTCATAAAGTGTCTGCCACTGTGGCTAATACCTGAGTAGTGGCTAATTAGTTTTCTTATATTATTGTTACATATTCACGAGCTTTGTGAAGGATGTTTATTCTGTAACAAAATTAGTGTAATTTCTACGAGAGCGTAGTTAAATCACAATTAACGTTAGTGGTTTGCAGTAAAATGTCAAACTATCTCTAATTATGAGAAAGAAACTGCAGTATGCATTGGGATGTTCGATGCAAAGAAAGACTGTTCTGTATTTAATTTGCACTATTTGAATGGCTATTGAGTTTTGTAACACAGAATTATTTGGCAACAGAAAAATTGAATGCTGGTATCTTTCGCCTTTCTGAAAGGGTGCGGGTCATAATTTTTCAGCACCAATTTAAAGGCAGGCTACAAATTTTCGAGCAACTATTAATTAAGGGGTGGGCTACCAAAAGTGCAGACACCAAATATATGATCCCCCCCTTTTACTTTATATGACCGGTCCCTTAACCGCACTCTTCAAGCTGAGAAGTCATTGTAGATTATAATTGTCATGTGATGCGAAAATGCCAGTTTACGACCTTCTGCTTGCATGAAAATACAAAGTGGGTTTTTAGGCAATTCTGCAATGTTTGGTATTGCATTGATCCCATGTTTCGTATAGTACAGCTCATATTTGTTTATTTACCCAGGAAATTAAGCAAAACTGTAAAAGAAAAACATAAGGCAGTGAATGTGGACTTCAGGTTAGTGTCCTAAAAGTTTGATTTCTAAACTTTACATTGTCCATCTTCACATTGCTGCCTTTGTGCCTTGAATCTGTAGCAATGCAAGAAGGCTCATTCCATCACTATGGAGTAAGTGCAAGGTTGAGAAACAGGAAAGCTTGCCACATGATATCAATGGAGATTGTGTGTTCAAGTTGCCATTTGACGAAGACAATATGATTGCCAGTAGTTCCGATGGGAGACCATGGAAACAATGGAATACCTCCAAGAGACAAAGCTTTGAGGGAAGAAGAAGAGAAACATCATGTGGCTGCACTTATGTGTGTGTGTAAAAATAGCTGTTGCCCCTACCTTCACTCATATGGCAAAGAAACCAATGTTCAATTTAAAAAAGAGGGCAGAGGACGAGGGAGTGTGTAACTGTTGTGGGTACGAAGCCAAAGATGTAATGTGTAAAGCAAAAAAGTCTGGGAATTTGGCCAAGACAAAGTTACTGTGTTTCACTGTGAAGAGCATAACTGCAGTGTAAAAGAGCGAGATCTTGACATTAGAGAAGCTGTTACAACATTTTTCTGCAACAATACTCCTGCCAAACCATCCCAATTTCCATATCAACATTTGCAGGGGGTTTTGAAAGAAGGAAAGTCACTCATAGGACACTCATTTGAGGCTTTAGCAACAATCAAAGAGTCAACTGACTTTAAAGATAAATACCTCATGTGGAGTGTAAAGGGCAGCCGGGTGGGTTGCTGATATCACTGCCGTGTCCCAGAGCAGCGAGGAGCGATTGGAGAGCAGATGCAGCGAAATGAAAGCATTCATCCTTTAGCAAATGAATTCTGTTTTTTGGATGCAGAACATGACAAAGTGAAAGGTCTCAAAACTATTAATTTGTTGGTTCAGCACCTGCTGTTGAAGGAGATGGTCACGACTGCAAGCATGGATTGCCTTACAGAGTCCACTGACACACTCTTTGAGTTTTGCAAACTCTGATTCCTGCCCATGTTAATTGAAATGTTTACACATACATTACAAATCACAAGGCAACATGTATCAACATTTCTACTTAACATGTTGAAATCATATTTTGTTACAAGTTACAGCAATTTTGTTCAACATATTTTCCAGCTTTAGCAATAATGCAGGCTACCCACATGTATGCAGTGTGTACCCATTTCTTATACTGTTAGAAATTCCAGTCTCATTAGCAAATACAACATCAATGTGTTCAGAATAAACAAAGTTCTAAAAACGTTAAAGTTACAAGATTACCCTGTCATTTGTTTTTGTTATGCTCATCAAACTCCGTGCATCGAGTGCAAGGCATTTTACTGTTCAACTATTATGCAGAATTTGATTTGCAATACTTGTAGGTCCTGGATTTATTTCAAAGTCATCTGATAGTTTAATCAGAAACACTGAGAACAAAGCGTAGAGGAAAAGGCGACATCCAAGAGCCAACTTTAACGAATTTGCTAATGGCTGTCGTTTCACTTTTCATCGTTGCTTGAAACTGTTGGTAAAGATTTTAGCTTTTACAACTTCTGAACGCATGTAAAACTCTTGCCAGATGGAAACACTTGCTGTATTCTTCATGTTTTTTTATGGAATAATCCACAACACAGTATGTGTATGTACAAAAAAATTAACATTTTTTGCCAGCCAGAAGTTTACTGGCTAACCGCCATTGCAGCACGCACACATCATGTAAATTTGCAAATGTAAGAATTGAATTCTGATTGACTCCACTTGTAATATGTGCAAATGAGATCATATATGCATATACATATTGTTTGTGAACTCTAAAGGCTTTATTTTTTAATGTTTGTGAATTCTAAAGACTAATTACAATTTTGATTTGAAGCTGTATTGACATGTGTAGATCACATTTGTGTGCAGACACATGTCCCATTCCCATGTATATTATTAAACTATTTGCACAGAAAATGCTTGAATCTTAAATCTTCTCCAGACACAAGAGAAAACATTTAATTAGTTGTTTAGCCTTCAGATCTCAAATCTGTCAATTTAAATTAAAATCGTTTTACTCTGGCCCTCGATCCGTGTTATGCTTGAAGCTTCAATCCTCGCGATAAATCGTGTAATGCCATTTGATTCACGATCAGATTTAAACATTCTTCACAAATACCTTTGCCTTTGGAAATATTTTCTTATAAATGTATGGTACTGTCTTGACTGTATTGAGTAGCGCAATGTCTATAGATGCCTTTTGCAGTTTTGCCCTTTGGGAATTATTGTATTTACTTTCATGCAAATCCGTGCATATATACTAACACTTAGTCAAAGGTCTGAGGGGTATACGAGATTTATCCCTCAAAGTCTGGAACCAGAATTCTTATCCCCCGAACTAAATTTTGTCTATCACTTACTTCACAGTGCACAGACTCAAAACACAGATTCTCATCACTCAAAGTAATGTATAATAACTTTCACTTTGCATTGTTCTCACTTTTTATAGTGTTTTTGTTAAAGTGCCTATATCAGGGTTTTGGAGTTTGCATATCTCGAAAGTTTAGGGTATTTTAAGACACTTTGCAATATATTTTGTTATTGAAAAATTTCATCTTGATGGATTTATTAGCTCTTAAAGTTACCAGACATGACGTCAAAAGGAGAATTGCAAATCAGTTTTCCTTTGTTTCATTGCAACAAAATTCTCCTTTTGACGTCATGTCCGGTAACTTTAAGAGCTAATAAATCCATCAAGATGAAATTTTTCAATAACAAAATATATTGCAAAGTGTGTTAAAATACCCTAAACTTTCGAGATATGCAAACTCCAAAACCCTGATATAGGCACTTTAAATCAAGCAAATGTTGTCTTTTCTGTGGTAATTCTTAGTCAGAAATTATATTTACACTGAGATTGTTTGACGCCATTTTGAATAGAAAAATCGTTTTGGAGCTGTGGTAGCCAATGAGCATCATTTGGAAGTTGAATACCTTCGAATGCAACAAAAAACAAGATTTATTAATTCTCTTTCATCCAATCATATTTGTCTATCACTGAGACGATAGTCAAATACAGTATATGGCACGAGACTGTCAAGTCATAAAATTCTGTTGAAAATGAACTAAATTTTTGTATACAAATAGCGGCCGGGTTGATTTTTTGTTTACTAGGACATAGGAAAAGGATGGCATGATAGACTACAAAGGACAGGAATATCAAGCTGACAGGCTAATCCGAGGTTGGCCCGCAGTCGACCTGAGGTTAACCACAGTTTTTGTCAATTTATTTATAGGCAGTACTGTATAAATGTGACTCAGGGGTGTAGTAGAAGGGGTTAAAGAGCACTGAACCCAGCAGCTAAAATTACATGTCGATTTGGGGGGCTAAGCCCCTATTATTTTTGCTAATTGCAGTCATAACCTGCAAAGTTAAAGGCAACCGTGCATATGCATGTGTCATCGGCCATCCCAGGGGTGGGGACCCCGGGCTAATCATTGTAAATGAGGGGACTTTGCAGGGGGATTGATTCCAAAATTGCTCCGTGATCCCAGGGGATATCACAACATTGGCGAAGAACAAGCCCTTGTCCGGGAGAAAATACCCGGGGAAGTAAAAAAATATGGTCAGCGGTTAATACTGAATTCGTCATGTAATAACTAGCGATTTGAATATCATCGTTCCAATTTCCAAAATACACATCTCTTCGGCTGCGATTTATCAGAGTTTTTTAATCTATGTGCATCGTGTCCTAAATTTTTAAATATGGGGCAACAGCAAGAAAAAGGCTGTTGTGGCTGATAGCTTGACAGATTTACTGAAAAAAGGTACGTTATTTAAACGAATATTTTATGTTGATTTGCGAGATGATTTGCATATGTAAATTTTGTATTTGTATATTTATAATCTCAATATAAATCGCATTTCTAAGTAAAATAACATCGAGTACATTGTTTGTAATATGACAGGCAAAGAAAAACTAGAAATGGGCAATGTCGAAAGGCTGAAAGTCTGCATGACTGACGGTACTGAGATTGATGATGACGAAATTTTGAAAAGTTGCTCTGATGGAACTATCCTTCATTTCATCTGCGAGTCGGATGCAGAGGCCTCTCAAGAAATGGCTGAAAAACCCAGTTCCCAGAGGGTTTTTTCGTCAACCAGTTAGTATATTATAAAATAGATGTATATATTTTTTATACTTTTCTTGTCAAAAAAATATATAAGGTCAGATGAGATGGGGTACATTTGTTTAATATACCTCCCCCAGTATGGAACGTAACATTTTTGTGCAATAACAGAAGGAAATTGTGTGCACCAGAGAGGGATTATTGGGTAAAACTGTAAATTGTGCACCAATTTGTGCATCAAGAGCAGCCTTTGTGCACGGCACATGTGCGATGCACATCGCCTTCATTCCATACTTGCCTCCCCCCAGATCAATCTAGTATTTAAATAAAGGCCTTTTCTGAAAGGTCGTTAACAAATTCTTACCAGTACAGTCTCTTGTTCCCTATCATATATGGCATGCTGCAATGCATGAATGTATGATGTATATCATCATATACCTGACCATAATCCTAATCCTCAATTTCATCCAAAGTCTACTCCCCCCCAACCCTACTAGACTTTTACTTGTGGGACAACCTTAAGCAGCTATATTATATATGCATATAGATCTGTATGTCATACATCATCATAGGAAACAAGAGACCATGTTGTTCTGACAGGGTCGAGGTATTTTAGACTTTATCCATAGAGGATGGGGTGGCTGTGTAGGTGTATATTGAGTACTAATAGAAAATTGGCACACCCTAATTTTTTGTTTTGAATATAAATAAAAAAAACTCTCAAAATTCTGTTTTGTTTGGCAAGATGCCCATTTTGAAAAATGGAATATTTATGTGAGCTGAGTAACAGTAGAATACTGACAGTATTATTGGCATATGTTACCTAGCTCCTGTTAAAAAGAACAAATTTAAACAAATGACACTGACTGCTGGCATTGGAAACACAATTTCTATTGGAGCTGGAGGTACGTAGTGTTGCAATATTATGTAATAACTAGTGGATGAAAGGGATAAATTAAGTTACAGTAAGTATGTTTCTATAAACCAATTGCTGTTAGTGTCGGAAATTTTGTCTACAGTATCTTTGAGAATATTATTCATTTTTTGACACAAATCATTCAAAATCAGGTGTATATAAGAAATTTCACTGCTAAATAAATGTTGCTGCATGTAAAAACAAAAAGTTAACTGTAAAATATACAGTAAGATTAATATTTTATGCTTTGACATTGAAAATAAACAATAAACTGTGAAATATAAACTGCAAAATGCAGATAGCTTGTTAAGATACAATCTTCTC